CAGAGGCCAGCATGAGGAGGGCCGTAGTAGCCCTTTCCGTGGGGCTGGATGTGTTTTGTAAAGGTGCTTTTCGAATTTAGACATCAAAAACCATTATTTTTCTTCAAAAAATACAATTTGTGAGCCTGAGGGAACGCTTTGGTCCCGGGAGAGCTGAGGAGAAGCTCCCCGGGCTTCTCCCCCCACAGGGGCCCTGAGCTGCTTCTGCCCCCTCGTGCACTCCTTACTCTGCTTTTTATTTTATTATTTCCATTTAATTTATGCTTTTCCCTCACAGCCGAGTTTGTGATAAGTCTTGCCGAGAAGAATACCACGTTTGACACGTTTAAAGCAATTCTCCTGAAGAATGGCGCTGAGTTCACTGTAAGTGACGCCTGAACGTTGTTTATATATTATACTTGTCATGCTATGTTTTATAGAACTTTCTACTTTAAAAATAGAAAAATTGTGAGGAGTTATTATTGGTTTTCTTCAGTTGGGAAATTACATACTAATGAGCTTCTGACATTCCTGTCTCCCCTGCCTTCCTCTTCTTCATATTTTTTAAAAACTATTGTACTCTTTGAAAAAGTATCTTTCTGAGGACTCAAACTGCTTATTGTTATGTTGAGCATATAAAATATGGAAGAAACAACTTTTCATGAAGGCAGATGTTGTCCTAAGTGTTCTTATGATGCTTATATGCTGTGTTTATTGATTCCTTAGGAATAACTCTATTTGGATTAAATAGCTGATTAAAATGATTAACAGAAAAGTCACTTAGATGAAATCATCATAATTATTTTTGGGTTCTTTTTAGGGCATACACAAAGCCCAATGACAATTTCTAAAAATCGACCTGCATCTTCAGAATTGAGTGGTTTTTGTCCTGCTAATAAACCCTTACTTGTGCATTCTCATAATGAAAGTGTTGTTGGCACTTCCTGAAGTATTTTATTGATTTTTTTGTCAGGATTCCCTCATCAGTAACCTGCTGCGTCTCATCCAGACAATGCGACCTCCACCAAAACCATCCACGAGCAAAGGTCAGAGCTCAGTGTGGGCTGAGTTTGTGTTTTCTGTTTTAGTTTTCTAAAGCAAATCCTATTGCACCATGGATCCTGCTGTTTTTATTCTGAGTGTGCTGCTCAGAGTGTTCTGCCTTTCAAATACTCACGAATAATCAGAATTTTCTTTGAAGGGAGGCAACACATTGTTTCTTGAATTGAATCTCTGTAAAAGCTGTATCAACCTTTGCATTCAGATGAAAATTAAATTTTATATTTAATCATAGAAAAATCAAGAGTGACTTGTTGTAGCAGTTCTATTTTGTGTTTTATTGTGCTTTTTTTTGTTTCTATTTTTATCTTAAAATCAGAGGCAGTTGTCAAACCCAAATCAGAGAAAGAAAAGTTGAGGGAATTGTATCCAGCCCTTTGCAGGCCAGACAATCCCAACATCAGGGTAAGGTGGTCATTTCACATTTCTTTCATGATTCTGTGAAAACTTTTAATTTTTTTTTTTTTTAGTTTCAACCTTTTTTCTCTGTCTAATGCATGGATAAATGTGAACTTTGAGAGATGAAGTGTGGAAGAGGTAGAAGGCTGGTGTTGCTGCACATTGTTGCAAAGAATAGCTGTTAGCAGTTGCCATGTTGATACAATTTTGCAGAATATGTGGAAGATGAGTCTCTTGTGACATGAAATTTGTAGCCTGGCCTTCCTTTCATAATATTCAAAGTAACAATATGTTTCAAACTAATAATTGCATGTTCAGAAGCTATGAGGGACTTGCATTTCTTATTTCTGTAACAAGGTGGAACTTTCTATTGCATAAAAGCAGAATTGTCTCAGTATTGTGGCCAAATAGGGAGAGTCCTTTTTTTCTTTATCTCATTTTTTAATTTTTTAAGATTTTTTAATCTTATTTTTTAATTTTTTTAAGATTTTTTAATCTCATTTTTAAATTTTTTAAGATTTTTTGATCTCATTTTTTAATTTTTTTAAGATTTTTTAATCTTGTATTCTTTCTAAATAGATACACGTATGCTGATAATTCTGTAGATTAATTCTTTGTGACAAGCTCTTTATCAGCCCTTTTGCAGAAAGAGGCATCAGTTTTCTGTCCTTGCAGAACATGCTGGATGAAGATGATGTGAAAGTGGCAGCTGATGCCCTGAAGGAGCTGGAGGCTCTGATGCCCAGTGCAGACAAGCAGGGCAAGCAGAGGAGCAGCGACCATCGGTGGGTGCCTGGTGTGTGTGGGGGGGAAAATCTTATTGTAGTGTAGAGATAGAAGTTGGCTGCTCTCATTGCCTGAGGTGGAAATGCTCTGTGGGGATGGAACTGGGGCTGCTCTCATTGCCTGAGGTGGAAATGCCCTGCAGAGATGGCATTGGGGTGCTGTCATTGCTTGAGGTGGAAATGCTCTGCAGAGATGGAGTTGGGGCTGCTCTCATTGCCTGAGGTGGAAATGCTCTGTGGGGATGGCATTGGGGCTGCTGTCATTGCCTGAGGTGGAAATGCTCTGCAGAGATGGAACTGGGGCTGCTCTCATTGCTTGAGGTGGAAATGCTCTGCAGAGGTGGAACTGGGGCTGCTCTCATTGCAGAGCATTTCCACCTCAGGCAGAGATGGAGTTGGGGCTGTTCTCATTGCCTGAGGTGGAAATGCTCTGCAGAGATGGAACTGGGGCTGCTCTCATTGCCTGAGGTGGAAATGCTCTGTGGGGATGGAACTGGGGCTGCTCTCATTGCCTGAGGTGGAAGTGCCCTGCAGAGATGGAATTGGGGCTGCTGTCATTGCCTGAGGTGGAAATGCTCTGTGGGGATGGAACTGGGGCTGCTGTCATTGCCTGAGGTGGAAATGCTCTGTGGGGATGG